ACTCCACAGTGTTACTGCACTCTGTCTTTTCCTCCATCTCTCTTTCTCTGTCTGTCTGTCTTACCTTCATTCTCTCCCTCTCTTTCTCTCTTATTCTTTCTTCCCTCTCTCACTCTTGCCCCCTCCCTTCCACTGCTTCTCCCCCTCTGTTCCTCTATCTCTCTTTTTCTTTCTCTCTCCACCCTCTCTTTCTCTCACTCTCTGTCATTCCTTCACCCTCTCTCCCTTCTCTCTCAACCTCTCTCCTCTCTTTCCTTCCTTTCTTGCACGGTCTCTTTTCCCTCTCCCTCTTTTTCGCTCTCGTCTTTTCTATTTGCTTAACGTGTCTCTCTTCTCTCACCCTCTTTCTCTGTCTCTCCTCCCCTCTTTCTCTCCCTCCCTCCCTCTCCTTACTTATTTCTCTCTCTCTCTTTCATTCCTCTCTCTCTTTTCTCTCTCCTCTCTTTCTCCTCTGACCCTCTTCCTCCCTCTTCTCTCTCTCTCACCCTCTCTTTCTCTCCCTCCCTCTTATTTTTTTCTTCGCTCTCTTACCCTCACGGTCTCTTCTTCCCTCTCCTCTCTCTCCCCCTCTTTTCTCTTTTGTTTCTTTCTCTCTCCCTCCCTCCCTCTCTTCTCTCTTATTTCTCCCTCGTCTCTCTTCTTTGACTCTCTCACTCTCTCCTCTCTCTTTCTCCCACTCCCTCTCTGCTCTCTCTCACTCTCCCTCTTTCTCCTCTCTCTCTTTTCTTTCACTCTCCCTCTCTCTCATTTTTCTCTTCTCTCTCTTACCCTCACACTCTCTCCTTCCTTCTCCCCTCTCTCTCTCTCTCTCTCTCTCTCTCTCTCTCTCTCTCTCATGAAACTCAGAGTTTCAGCATGAATGTGACAGAAGAACAGGAAATGTGTAAATGTGTAGGAAATGTGCAGGAGAGCAGAAGGAAAGACGTGGTTGTACATTGTCGCAAACACACACACCTCCAGCATAAAATCCCATCCTGTGATAAACTGACCCCATCAGAGTTTACAGAACAACCTTGTAAGTTTATGAATGAATTAATATTAACCATGAACTAATACTGATACGTTTACAGTTTTAGGTCATTGTACACTAACCAAACCTGGTAGTTAACTGCTGATCTGAATCAGCTCTGCTTGAGTTGCTTGATAGGAACTGAGTCAGGATATGTAAATCACAACCCTGCTGAACTAAGACCATCAGAACATTATGATTAAAATCTGATGGTTTATAGGAATTGACTTTAGATGTAAACAAAGTCATTCAGAGTGGTTTGATGGTGTTTAATGCCTCTAAAAGCTCCCTCAGAGAAAATTATTACACGAAATGATAAGGAATACATTATTTTATTTATACAGCGTTTTACAATACATGGTTTTAAGAAAAGATTTTTGCCTAAAATGTATTTTTTTTAATCCATTCATGATGGTAAGGTACATGCAGGGCATTATAAGGCAAAAAAGCAAACGTTTTTCCAGATTTACCATGCTCTTACTATTTTCAACTTGAAAAATAAATAAATTGGCTATATTTGCACTGTTCACATTGCAATCCCTGGTTCCTATCACCACCTCTGTACAGAAATGCAAGTCGTATGTTGCTCAACAATCTCTGAACGACTCTGTTTACATCTCAATGACTAAAATATTTAGAGATTTTGAAATATATGTGAAATTCCCCTTTAAATTAATCTGGAGTGTTGCCACTGGAAGTTAACAAATCAAGATATCAGTAACTGTCTTGAAAAACAAAAACAAATTATGTAACTACATTTATTTATATTTATTTTAATGTTATGTAGTGTTTTACTGGCAAAAACACCATTACTGTCAATAAAATAGAATTAAAATATTTTTCTGTACGGTACTGTATTTTATTTTTAAAATATTCACCATCAGGCCGTTTTCAGCAGCCATCAAGTAATAAGCTTGAGTAGTAAATTTTTCAAATGCGTTGGAAAAGCATTACAGGAGCTCCTGATGAAAGCGTATTAGTGTGAAGGTGTGCTAGTGTGCACAGATGCATCAACGCAAAGTGGGCTACTTTTAAGGAGCTAATATAGAAGATATGATTCATATGTGTTGATCAAATTAGCTATTATTAAAAAATTTGGAAGTTCATAAAAAGGTAAAAGGACATTCAAAACAGATTGATTTTTCCCAGAAATCCAATACTGTTTTGTTTCTTCTGTCTGTGGATTGACGTACCTTAGACATTAGCGCCCTCTATTGGCGACTAAAGTAAAAACTGCATTAATCTCCCCAGTGTGAGGGAAAGAGATGTTTCTTTTAAGGGACCTTTCATCCTCCATTCTCTCTATATCTCTCTTTCTCTCTCTCTCTGAGATATTTTCACTGTCTCTCTGCTGTCTACTGTCCCTCTTTTATGTCCTCTCTTCTGTCCATTTCCTCTCTCTCTCTTATGCAAAGGTATAGAGGTCTGTGAGACAATAGGGCACTGGGGAGCTAGTGGGAAGGAGTGTGTGTGTGAGTGAGTGGATGGGGGGGCGTGTTTGATAGAGGTAGTAGGGGGCTCCTCACCATCTCATCAAAGAGTAGCTCTATTCGGATGAACCCTGAGGCTCTGTGTGTGTGTGTGTTGGTGTGTCTGGGGGATGGGTCTTTTTGAAGCCTTTGTATGCAGTGCCTTGATTTGAATATAATCACACAACACTTTTCATCCCCTTTCCTCCCTTTGAAACTAACACCATTGTCCCACCAGAGAAAAACACTGTTCTCTCTGCTGGTGGCACATCAGAAATCAGCATGCTGATCAAAATGGAAATGGCAGGTTGGCTGTGCTGAGCTGTCTTCTGAGGGATTTGTAAGGGCAGCTGAGGTCAATGGCCACATGAGATGTGCCACACACTGTTGAGGTGGATGAGCGCTATGAAGGTGAATGGATTTTCAATGCCACTAAAGTCTTACATAATTACATCACTACATCTATAATAGTTTACCCTGCTAAAGAAAACATCATAAACCAGCATAGATGGTCACAAACCAGCATGGCCAGGCTGGGTAGTAAGGGTAGCAAGTCAGTTAAGTGAGTAAGCAAATAAATAAACTATTGTAGCATTGTGAGCCAGTAATAAGCAAAATGATACATATTTATACCTTGGAGTATAATGTTCTCTGCTAATTCCTTATATATAATTGTCCTCTGATTCATCCATGTTCAGACAAACTCCGCCTCTTGCTCCAAGATTGGCTACTAGTTTATTCTGAGAAGCAATCAGCCAATCCCAGCACACGGAATGGAATCCTACTACCCAAAACTACACCAGAAACAGTGAAAATGTGTCTGAATGAAGATGAGGGGAAAAAAATAACGCTGGTCCACACAGCAGGGTCTATAACAGGCTAGATCATGCACTTCTTCAACCCGACCACTAGAGGTCAGTCGAGACTATTAACTTTTTATCTATTAACTACTACCAGGAACATCCGCAATTTGTTTTTATAAAAGTACTGGCCAACCAGTGACCACATACTTCAACGTAATGAGCAAGCGGTTCGGGGTACTGCAACTATTATTTCATTGTATTTGCAGTGCAGTATGTAGGCTGTAGGGAGCCATTAGATTCAGATCCTCAGAATTCAATCGCTGAGATGTCAACAAACTTATTCAGAGTGATTTGATGCATTACAGAGCTACAATAGTGGTGATAGGAACCAAGGGTCAAGATATGTCCATCACAACCCTGCTGAACAAAGACCATTAGAACCATAAGGATTAAAACCTGGTGGGTTTACTTTCTAAAGGAAAATTGGCTTTATGGTAGCCATCAGGGACCACTAGTTTCCTGTAGGACACCTAGAGATCCTGTTAGGAAACCATGCATCAAGTATTAGTCCAGGAACGCCTGCTAAACCATTAAAATCCTTTACACTGTGGTATCAACCCATCAGCAAAACACAGGACACCATTAGTGACAACTGGACATCACCAGGAACCAGCAGAAAGTTTTAATGGTTTCTATGACATTTTTAGCAGGGAAGCAGGCCTAATGCCGACAATGATAAAATGGTCCTGAAAACAAACAATCGTTGGGTTGTATGGTGCCTTATAGGCTGCATGCACCTGGGCATGGACGCATTTTAAAAATCTAATTATTGCCAAACCATAGTGAAACTACGGAGACCCGTTGGTTTTATCCCGTATAAATAAAAATAATGCGTATGATCATGCCTTAATAAGCTGTGGTCAAGGCTTAATTATCTCTTTCCCACGCCTTACTAAGTCGTGGCCACGACGTAACTGTCTCGCTCCCACGCCTTAAGTCATGGCCAAGCATTAGGATCTCGTTCCCACTCTTTAATAAGGCGTGAGCAATTCTGACTCGGCAGGTTTCCAGAACGGAGCTTTTCACTTCGAACCGCTCCGAATGACTTTGTTTACATCTTAAGGATCTAATAATGAAGATACTTTTTTCAAAAATTGGTGGAATTCCCCTTTAAAGGAAAGGTCAGCGCTGAACGAAACAAGCCTTTTTTACTCGTCAGACCATTACTCTAAATCAAGGCAGATGTGACAGGTTCGCGTTAGTTAAAACGAAGTTTTACTGCTCTCTCTGTAATGGCTTTGCCATCCAGGCCAGATGTTCACCATGCTGATGGAGCTCCGCGATGAGCAGTGCAGTTTTCAGTTTACAGCCGCACTTAAAAACACACGGGGCTTTCTGATTCTCACATCTGTTAAACTACTACAGAAAGAAACGAACAACGATGACTGTCCCAATAATATCTGTGTAAAAGCTGTGCTGAAGGAGGAGGAGAGACAGTTGGCCAATCCATTCTGAAGCGGGCAAAGGGAAAGTTATTAAACTGTCTTCTTAACGCGATTACGGGCCGCTGAAATCGGTCTCCAACAGGCAAAAGTTCCTCAAACACACATCCATCATGCTGTCATTTGCCACGCCCACCTCGCATCTCATTGGCGCTGCGCTGCAGATGTCACGATAGGCGTGGCGTTCAAAACTTACTCGCTCCTCGTTGCTGTGAGATTTAAGCGCGAAGTGAAGAGGCAGGAACGAAAAGTGGAACATTTTCTCCTACTGTAAAGGTGAAAAACACCGTGTTTATCTGAGATATTACCTCTGAAAACGACGTTTAAGAAGAGCAACGGTGACAGTCATGAGTTTACTAGCCGTAGTCGAGCACGCCGCTAAAGAAGGACAGACCATTTGAAGCTTTTGGAGTCACTCTGAACTGAGCAGCCCGACATCTGGGATTATCAACAACAGTCACTGAAAGCAAGCTGCTGCCCAGATTTGACTTAGTTTGAGAAGAGGCGTCTCATTTTTGTACTTGAGTGTACATTTCACATCCCAGGCTAGCCATTTGTCGGACGTGCTACGAAAAAAGCGGTAAGTGCTAACAGTTTGTCCAGTTTGTGTTTCGAGCGGTCCAACCGGGCATGCGCATATCGTTAGTAGAGTGTGGTAACGTTTCAAACGTTTTACGGTGTCTTCAATGTTAATGCAGTTCAGACTCGGCGTAATATTACTATCTTACTTACCTCCTGATAAGGTGATTTAGGCTATCAAAATATCCTAATTATCCTTTTAATGCGGGTAATGATTTCTGATACGGAAATTCAGGCTATCAAACTGTCCTGTCATACATTTCAATGCTGGTAGCCTTTTCTGGGAGGGTGATTGGCTGTCAACACGTCCTTCCTGTAGTTTTAATGCTGGTAGCATTTTCGATAAGGTGATTTAGGCTATCAAAGTATCCTAACTTACTTGCAGTTTTGCTGCTGGTAGCATGTTTATCTTCATTGCAGCAGTCACTTTCCACTCTTTCTTTCTTTCTTTCCCTCCTCTCAACTAAACCCAACTCGTCCCTTTGCAGCTCGGTACCAGGGTGACCCACTTCGGATGCTTTGCAGACTCAAGTTCAGTCACAGAGAATTTCTTTTTCTGCACAATAGGGAGCTGTAGCCTGCGCCGGAGTGTTAATTAAAAAAGAGAGAGAGAGTGAGAGACGTTTTAATGAAACGGCGAAGCGTGCAGTTATGGCCCCGGAGCGCATTATTAAAAGGGAAGGATATATTACTAAACTGCTTTGGTGCCAACAGGGTCTGGTCATTGCACGCCGGCCTTGCTGCTATTTATAGCGGGTGTGCACGGAGCGGGCAGGCTAATTTATTTTAATTACGCGCCACTCACTCTTGCACATACGCGGGGGTTTGGGGCGTTCGTGCATTTGTTCACTGCAACGAGAGGTTAATGGCAGTTCAGAACTAGACCTTGTTACCCTATAAAGTGTGATTTGCAAAGTCCAGTGTTGGAAAATGTCGACAAACACTTTCAGACTGGTAGTTAAAATGGCTAACGATTTATAATGCATGTATAGTCTGGAAGGTGGGAGACGCAAGAGTAAAACTTTAAAGGGGAATTCCACCGATTTTTTAAAATGTCCGCATAATTTAGAGGTTGACATATACATAATCATTCAGAGTGATTTGTTGTGAAGTGGTTAATTTGTAGATAAACTTACAGGTTCGGATTTCTTAACATTTTGGCCATAGGAACCAGGATTCCCCAATGTCTGCATCGCTGATTTAGACATATTATTTACTATCCAAAACCACCAGTAATGTCGATGATAGTAAAATAATGGACAGTTTTCTTTGGGGACTCTTTTGCCTTAGGACACTCTTCATGCATTTCACACCAAACCACTCAATGAATCTGCTGACATGATGGCCATTTTATGATGCCAAATTTTTGAAAAGTCAGCGGAGTTCCCTTTAAAAGACGCTCCGTTACAAGCGTTACAAGCGCTGCGCTGACTGAAATGTGATTTGTCTTTGTGTGCGGCGCGCGGACAGGGACGGCATTGTGTTTCTCTTCATCAGCCTCCACTTTTCGCCTGCTTATTTCATCAATCAGTGCGTAAGCCGGCTGGAACCGAGTAGCTCACCTCCCCCCTTTACTGACCTTTCTGTCTGATGGCATCGTTTAAATCACGAGAGAGAGAGAGAGAGAGAGAAAGAGAGAGAGAGAGAGAGAAAGAAAGAAAAGTTTGGCTCACTTTTAGAGCTGCACGCGCTGACCCCAGCTGAGTCTCCCAGGATTTTAGTGAGTTGTGGTGAAGCTTTCTTCTGCTTTTAAAGGGGAATTCCTCAGATTTTTTACAGTTAAAGTTATTATACAAAATTTCCGCATAATTCAGTCGTTGAGATGTAAACAAAGTCTTTGAGAGTGGTTTGAAACTTACCAACTCAGAAACAGTGGTGGTAACAGGAACCAGGGGTCGTGAAGTCTGCAGCTCAAATATTTTATTTGTTATCCAAAACAACCAGTGGACCTACACGTGTTCTCTGAGTTTTTATATCACTATAACACTGATAACAGTAAAATAGTGTTGCTTTAGTGCTTTCTTTGGGTACTGTTTTGCCTCACAATGCCCTGCATGTACCTCTCCACCATGAGTGGATAAAAAAATACAGTTTATCAGGCAGTGTATTTGTAACCATTTCATAAAAGTAGACGAAATGAAGAAACAGATTCAGTGAGAAGAAAATATCACGTTAAAAAATCCTCAAGTACTGAGTTGTTTGTAGAACCGTAGTGGAATGTGTTGGGACATCTAGCATCAACCAGCAGTGGAACTGAAGCACTGTTCTTCTAAATGTGCAGAACTAAAATGGAATTGAGGAAGAAGTCGATTCCTTTTCTCAGTGTAAATAAAAGTATCACTTGATGCCTATAAGCATCCATCAGAATTTTGCTTAAGTACGTGGATCTGATTAAACATAACCACAGCTCATCTTTGAATAAGGATACGGTGGAGCCTACCAGCTGTCCAGAATCATGTCCAACTTTTTAATGCTGCCTCCTAAACCTTACTAAAACTGCCACATCTTCTTAAATGTATGGCAGTATCCAAGTTTACCCTGACTTTTAAACACTTTTTGTCTGTTAATCCATGTCATCACCACTTTCTTAAGCGCCATGGTTTTTGCGTGCCACACTATTCTTTGTGTGTGTGTCAGCAATTGGTTATGAGTGCCCGTATGCCTAAGATAGGAAGCCACACAAAGTTCTGCGAGGGGGTGATAAGACACCACATTGAGCCCCGTAGCCCGAAAAAGGTTGTTGCCAAGCGTTTTCAGAGGGGGATTAGCTTACCTAAGTTCTCAGAGGGATAATATAATTGTTCTGTATTGAAATAGCCCAGCCTAGTCGACAGCATGTGATATTCCCCCAGGGTCCTATTCACTAGCATTGTCTCTCACTCTCAGGTCTGCAGTAGAGGATGATTAAAAAGAAGGGGATTTGCATTTTCATGAAATTAGCTGCGGCAAAGTTATTTGGCGACCTGCTTTTCAATAGTGCACGCAGGTGTGCGCAAATGGCAATGTGGTTTCCGCTGTTGGCAGCTGTGGAGAAAGGGTGTTAAAGCAAATTCTGTTTATGCCTTGAATAAATTTAGTGGCACGCTACGTAAGAGCTTCAAAGTATTTACGTCTTTTTGAAAGGGCTGGAGAGTAAGTGCAATATAAAAGAGCCCGCTTTTTTACAGGATTGAATGAATCCATTTGATTTATCATCACAATATAAACTTGGGTAAAAGCTCAAAACCTTAAACATTTCTTCAAATTGACTGTTTAGTTTTGCAAAGGTAGCTGTTTTTTGTGATTTAAAATCTGCCATTAAGCCTGCTTATGTGGTCTACAGTAAATGTGACAGATTCAGCCTTGGAGTCAAGAGTGTCGTTGGAATTGGTTGGAACAGGCAGCTCGCCAATTCTCTAACAGGAACATAGGCGTGTAGCTTCATGTCAGGTTTAGGATGTTCAGAACGTGTCGCCCTATTTGCAGAGGAAGCGCTTACGTAGCCTTACTGCAGAGTGATATCAGACCTGTTTGGCCAGTTTTACCAGTAGAAAGTGAGGGAAGAGTCCTACACGTTGAAGAAGACTGCCTGCAGAAGGAAAGAGATATAGTGGGAAAATAGATTCTTCTCCTGTCTGTTGTCCCTAAATTTCTTCTGAGCCTGACTCTTGTCTGAAAATGGAGGGAGGTGGTGCTAATATTTCTGGGTAAGGTGATCAGTTTCACTCCTAAAACTTCAAAAAACACAGGAAACAAATGCAAGAGAAGTTAAGGGAAAGAGATTTATGTTTTTTAAAGAAAAGTTTATGTCAATATGCTGTCTAACTGTTTGAAGATGTAGATGTTACATGCGATGTTGGTGGATATAAACATGCTTTGCCAAAAGGTGTATAAGACTGTTTCAGAGTGTCATGCCATTAGAATTGTTGTTGCGTTTGAATGAGTATTTCGGGTCTGAAAGGTTTTTATTGCCTGTGATCGTGGGAACGTGTCTGACCAGCTGGCACCTTGTGCCCAGCGTGAGCTGAAGTGAGAGATATAGCTTGAAGGAAGTATTCGCTCTCTTTCGGAGTAGGGTGCTTACTGCTTTCCTGTTGCCTTCCGTCATCCTGCTAACCCCTGCTCGACCCCTCCGATCTGACCGGCTCAGTCGTAACCTCTGACCTGGCTTCGGTATCTCCCGTCTGCTGCCGGCTGACCTTTCCTTCAGGAGAACAGAGAGAGGAAATAACACATGAATGAACCTCAGATAGACGTAGATCCTGGCTCGCTTCCTCCAGTTTTCTGCTTTATGTTGGTGCTTCTTGTTCTGAAGAACTGCATGTCCTCAGCTGCTTAAGGTATGGTCTCATTTTCTCAACCCAGCATCTGTCATCGCGGATAAAGTTTGTCAAGAAGTTTCTATATTCCAGGAAATGCAAGGTGTGCTTCCTCAGTCTCCAAAATAAGATCATGCGGCTCTAAGCTGCCAAAACACCAGCTCAGTCAGTAGACCCCAATAGATCTAATCATTTTGCATCTCCCAGTGAATTTTTTTAGGGCCATACTGTAAAATATTGTATCTTACACAATTTTGGCTTCTTGTAGGATCCTCGTCCTTGCAATTTCTTTGTTCCTGGAAATTTTTCCTTTTCAGTTATGTATCAATGAGGGGGTCACAGGTAAGTTTTTACACCTGTGTACCATCAAGGGTTTGAGTTTCACCATTTAATATTTTGTATGGTTTACTTGTGCTAAAAATTTAAACAATAGGTTATTTCCTTGTTGCTGTAAGCTGATGGCTGTTGACAGCTCTGACTGAAAAATGACTTGGCAGCTACCAAGTATTATTTAATTATTTAAGTTTCTAAGCTTTTCTGTAGGCGGCACAGTTCCGATACCAGGCATCAATATTGGGCCGATATCTGCAGAAAAAGCTGGACAGGATATTGGAGGGGAAAAAATAATGAATTATATCCAATCCTATAACTACGCCAGTCATGATCATGACGTTTTTGCTGATTAATTGCCATTTACAGTCGTACACAAAGATTTGGGGTGTTTTGTTGATTTACCAAGTGAAAAAGTGCATATCTCCTACAGTGAACACACTTCTGTGCGTTTTTTAATTTTAATGCACAATTATTGATTATTTGCTGAATTTAACATATAGGGGAAAACATTTTCTATTTTATGCTATATTTTTTTTACAGTATGTTTGACTCAGCAAAAAACAGAATTTGTGCAGAAATGCCATATTTATATTTATTCACTGTAGAGTATGTGTGCTTCTATCAATAAAACATGTAATTTGACCGGGGAGTTAGTTCAAACCTAAATTGGCTAAATTGGCTGATATCTGTTAATACTTCATGGTTCTCAACTGATGACAGATACTGCCCACTAAACAGACCATCATCGCACCAGTCAGAAGTTAGAATGTTTATTGTTTTTGTAAAACCCATGACATCTCAATAAATATGCTTTATGTTTTTCTCTAATTACACGTAATTGGCCCAACCCAACAGATGAAAACGCACCCAGTTCTCATTCTGTTTGTTGCGACATAAACATATGATTGTGAAAGCTAACAGCTGTGGAAAATTGGTCAGCTTAAATAATTGCAATCAAGTGATTATGTAATAATCATGACAAGCCAACTTGTAGAAAATCTAGCTTGAAAATCCACTCAGATTGTGTGACGTAATGCTGTTAGCTGTGTATTTTTTCCAGTGGGGCTGTAGACTGTTTGAGTAGTTTGAGCGTGATAGCCTACTTTCAGGTCATAAACGAAGTGCTTCAGTTAAAAATAGCTCATTTTAAAACTTAGCAGTTCTTAAAGAAGAAAGATGTATCAGTACAGGCTGAAAATAAATGCTTCAATGTCAGTTTTCTGATAAATAATTTGAATAATAGTTGTTTAATTTTTGAATTGTGCATTAGAATACAATGACCAAACCACGTAGGATTCAAACGCTGTTTTGCTGTTTTGTTTTCGCTCATTTTCCTGAATTCTGCCAGCATGGTGTATCAGTGCTTATTCGGTTGTGTCAGAGAATGAGGAAGCTGTCCTTGAATGTAGCAAGGACAGCTTCTGCCACCAAACAGAAATGTATCATGATGGACACACAAAGCCAAAATTTGTTCAGCTGAAGCTAAAACTATCATGATAGCTGGTTTTAGTTTATGGTATACCAGTTAATGATGTCGTTGAAGGTTCTGATGAACCTGTGAGTGTCTGTTGTTTGCACTCTCTGTTGATTGCATTCGAAAGAATTTTTCTTTCTTCATTAGCAACAAAACTGTTATTAGTAGATCTCCAGAAATCAGCACCCTGTCTTTGAGATACAGTAGACTGAGGTTGAATAGAGCTCATATGGATCTAGTCACTGCCAACCAAAAGCTGCACTGCCCAAGCCCGGCTTGAACTCTCTTTTTTGAGATGGAAAGTCCTGCAAATGAGCTCCAGATATGATCTGGTAATGTCAAGATAGATATACCAGTCTCACTAGACACTGTTGCTCACATTGCCCTCAGCATATAGTGTGTTTTTTATTTTATTTGTTATTTTTTCCTCCATGCTCCAATACTCTAAGGCTGTGCCATTAATTTCACATTGCAGGAACTTTCTTGGACGTTATTGTGTAACATTTATTTTTTAGGAATTTGAAGAAACTAATTTCAAACGCATTAAATCATGATTAATGGATATTTATTGTGGGCTTAAAGCACTGTCATTGTCATGTTTTTGTTCGGTTGATACAGTTTAGCTGTGCGAGTTACCCTTAGGGATATGGGTTTATTTGTGTTTTTCCTGAAATGGCTCTGCATTTTCTTGGGTAAGGCGGGCCAGCTCTGTCTGGTAAGCTTACTGAGATGAAGCTCTGCCAATAAATAAAACAGGCAATCAGAGCTGCTTCTCTGGTTGTTCGCCAGACCCAGAGCCTAACCGCAAGCTTGATTTAGGCCTATTACAATGGATTGTTAGGACTACCTGTTGTTATTATTGGTTTATTATACTGCTTGACTGGACTACTTGATTAAAATTGGACTTCTTGATATGATTGTAACATATCAGGCATTTATCAACATGCTGGTCAGTCTTGGCTAACTATTTTTTGTAATTGACATTTATTTGTTAATTTATATATCTGTTACACCCCTTTCCTTGTCCCAGAAAGAGTAGGTTTGAGGAGCAGCTGACTACAAGATTAGTTGGCATAGTGACCCCCCCCACTCTTCCCCAATCCTTTTAGAATTCCTCAGAGTATCCTTTGATTACATCACTAGTGGCTTGTCTAATTCATCCTTTTTTCTCTAACACGATTATTATTATTATTATTATTATTATTATTCATAATAATGTAGTCCAGTTAACTAATATCAAGTGTGGATATTGGAACTAGTTATTCAAGTAATTTTGGCAATTTGACTGTGTACTACATTATAAAGGAATCTGTAAAAGCGGACAAAAGTATGGACAAAATTCACGCTTCAACATGACTGCTGTTCTTAAAAGGCCAGTATCATAGAAAACCAATTTTTGCTAATTTCTTTGGATGTTATGATATGAAGGCACTATCAGAGTTTCTACTGAATTCATTATTTTTGTGATGTTACTAAAACGTACGAATTGACATACAGTTGTGTGCAAAAGCTTGAACACCGCAGGTCAACTGACATGTTTTATTGATTTTCTATGTGAAAATAAGAACAAACTTAAACGTGGTGATTTTCTACAAAGTTAAATTTCGGTTTATTTACTGAGTTTAACATATTGGGGGAAAAAATAAAACATGAAATCTAAAATGTGCCATAAGTGTAAAAATATGTTAGACTCAGCAAACAAACAGTAATTGTGCATTAAAAAGAACACAAGTGTGTTCTCTGTTAATGATGTGTACTTATTTTCACTACAGCAGTTTAGCGTTGATGTTGTTAGGAGCATATCTCAGTCTTAAAGGCACAGTAACAAAAGCAGAGTGTTTAATTCTATGGGATAAAAAGAATTTAGAAATGGTCATGCAAAAATGAATTATGACTGCTTTTGGTATATAAAGCAACATAAATGTCATAAGTAGACTGTTCAGGGAAAAACAATACAATGCAAATAAATGTAGGATATGGGCCCTGTATTATGCAGTGTACTTTTGTCCATTTTTATAGATAACAGCACATTATACATCATCAGAAACCACATGCGCGAGTCTGTTTGAGATTAGTTTAAGAACCAAATGCGGATTGATGCAACTATATGACGATTAGACATGCAGTGTGTATGGTGCTGTCTGGTGGCTTTAGGATTCCATTACTTGTTAGCTACATTAGCCTCATAGCTCCAGAGCAAAACTAATGGACCAAACTTCAGACACTAAACGTGTCTTGGCTGATCGATTACATTTGGTGTGGGGAGGAAATTGTGTAAATTAGATTTTTTTCCCCCCAAAACTATTCCTTTAATGGCAATACCAGACATTCTTTTATGAGTTTCTTTGAGGATGTGCATCTGGGAATCTCAGTCCAGTCCACTGTTTTTTACTAGTTCCTCTTCTCTCTTTCACAGGGCCACGATGGTGAACAGCCGTGTGGAGTCGTCGGCCGTGGCTGTGACAGGAGGCAGTGGCGGCGCTGTCCGCTCATGTGCTGGCTGTGGTGGCCGTATTTCTGACCGCTTCCTGCTCTTCTCCATGGAGCGCTACTGGCACACACGCTGCCTGAAGTGCTCGTGCTGCCAGGCCCAACTGGGTGAGATCGGCACCACCTGCTACAGCAAAGGGGGCATGATCCTCTGCAGGACTGACTACATCAGGTATGGGGCAATGAGGTGTTTAACCCCTTAAACTCGAGACTTATTACTCTTGTAATTCTTATATCAGACTTGTAATTAACCTTAAAGGGGAACTTAACCAGTTTCTCAACATTTCAGCATAATTCTATGTTTGAGGTAAAGACAAAGTAATTTGCTGTGGTTTAATGTGAAATGGTACGTTGCAGAGAAACTTAGACTCTTTACAGTGACAGGAACCAAGAGTCAAGATGTCTACAAGGCAAATAAAACCATTTTATTTACTATCCAAAACTACTAGTGAACCTACATGTATCTTTTGAGTGTTTATATGTCCATAATGGTAAAATAATACATACATACATCATCTAAACCGCTTATCCTTCTGGGTCGCTGGAGCCTTTCCCAGTTGTCATTGGGCGGAAGGCAGGATACACCCTGGACAGGTCGCCAGTCCATCACAGGGCAGACAGACAGACATACACATTCACGCACACCTAGGGGCAATTTAGCATGTCCAGTTGGCCTGACTGCATGTTTTTGGACTGTGGGAGGAAACCGGAGTACCCGGAGGAAACCCACGCAGACACGGGGAGACCAGGCAAACTTCACACAGCAATGACCTTGGTCACCCGGCCGGGAATCGAACCCAAGCCATTCTTGCTGTGAGGCGACAGCGCTACCCGCTGTGCCACCGTGCCGCACGGTAAAATAATAGTAAATATTAAAAAACAGCTCTGAATGATATTTTTCCTTACATCACCCTGCATGTTCCTCTCTGCCAAGAATAGATGTTAAAAAGTGCATTTTAGGCCAAAATCCAATATCTCAGGCATCCTCATAACCATTTTATGTAATAACTTTCTGTAAAGAAGCTTTTAGAGGCGTCACCGCTGCTGTGAACAATTCTGACTCTGTAAGAATTTTTTTTATTGAGCATTTAACATCAAACCATGCTGTTGACATCTTAACTATTTAATTATGCAGAAATAAAAAGAAATCCCCTTCAAGACTTATTATTCAGCAACCTCAGCAAATTTCTCAGTGATTACAGTGAAATTTATGTATATAGTTAAAAGAGTGAGAAAAGAAAGTCTGGATCTACCAATGAGTCCTTAAATTTTCAGGGGTTAAAACAGGGTGGGATAGGGTGGAGAGGTGGCACCTGTGATTGAGGGAAATTATTTGGTGTGTCCTGTGAATACAGTTTTTGTCAAGGTGGAACAAAATGGATGTGTCATGTAAATGTATCAGATTAAAACACCTAATCACATAATTCAACAGATTTGTTTGGTTTGTAGGGGTAACCATGACCGAAAAAGCAAATCAGAGCAAGTCTAACTGGGATGTGAAATAAAACTAGCCATTATTTAATTACATAGTACAGACTTTCCATTGTAACTACATTGAAAAGTTCAGTCAGTGACTACAAAGTGTCGTAATGCTGTGATGTTTTACAAATTTCTGTATTTTCTGTAATATTGTTTACACTTGTGCCCAAGATGTTTTCCTCAGTTAATACTACCTAAGGCTATGGCCTTGTTAATACAGTCTAATTCTAATACAGACGGCTAATTCTACATCATGCAATGCAATATTAATGATTATAGAGAAATATATCCATATTACAATGACATATTTTATACTGTTATTTCTCAGCTCTTTTTCTGTAGTCCGATGAATGAGCTTTTTGACATTGCTTTTTAAAAAATGTAAACTTTTGTAATTTTGTGACTGTTCATTTCATCCAGCATGATACAAAAATATGTTTAACTAGACAATTTACTTTTTTGTTTTTAAAAATTCAGTCCCCATAAGCTTGATTGTCTGCAGATGTTCTACAAGAATGGCTGACTTAGACATCCCTGTTGTAGCTTGCTGAGGATTGTAGCCTTTCTGAAGCCATCTGTAGCTTATTTGCCTGATGGGAATCAAGCTGTGTGAGCGTACAGTAGCCAGGACAAGAGAGCATAAAATACCTCCGTCATGACAGGAACTGTGTGGGTGTGTGTGACATGGGACGGGGAGCAGCCATATCCCTCAAAAGCCTCCCACACGCCTTTCATGTGTCTCTGTCCCACAAGGAATGGTTTTCAAGGCCTTCCCCAAGACTCTAGGCATGTTTAAATTAAAGCATTGCAAATGTTATAAGGATTGCATGATATATACAAAATGCCTTATTATGATTGTGATATGTCTAAGACTATAGAAAAACACTAACGTGATTGAAGATTGATCTGCATAATTTTGAGCTAAGTTATGTATTTTTGTTGGATCACATGAATGTTTTGATTTACTTAAACACAGAGAGAATCTCTTCTGGACCTAATGGGGTATGACAGAATGCTCATAATGCACAAAAAAAAAAAGTTGTAGGTTTGAGGGCTCATTCGCAGCCTTGTACAGTACCAGTATTACAAAGGTCAATACTGCGACAACGATTAACAAATGACATATTGTACAGTCCTAAATGGCATTTTCCGGCTAAACCAGTGGAAATAACATTGGGATTTTAAGCTTAACATCTGTATTAGCATGTACGCTTTGTAAATTCAAAAATATTTTGGTTTTAGCTGTATAATGGCTGTTTTATCTTGTTTATAAGCCACTATAGAGGAGGCACAGCTCTCTGAGAGAATTTGGCCCTCGCTCCTTTGTGTATATTATGCCAGGAGTTCCAGAGGTGAACAGATTAGATTTGTTTGTGATTATGAGGTACTTTGAAACTGACCTTTTGCTTGTTTGGATGTGTGCGGCGGTGCGTTGGCCCATGACCGCACGGCATCGGTGCCCGTGCTGCCCAGTCTGTGCCAAGTGCGGACCACAGAGCATGTTTGAAAGTGCTTGGCATGGGCCTCACAGATGGTTTGGTGCCCGTGCTCGATGTCCCAGTGCCAGGTCATACTTGCTCTTGAGGGCAAAGAGACTTGCAGATCTCCGAAAACCTGCAAAAGTGGTGCAAAGCCCTCAAAGCTAATCCCAGGCTGAGGTCAGAATGCTGGACGCTCATGCACATGGTTAGTCATAATTAGCTTGACATTATGATTTAAATGAGACCTTTAATGAAATACAAACAAACTAGGGTTACAGTCTATCCAGGCTGGATGAATTTTCAGACAAGAGCAAAACTGCAGATTTGCAGTATTTTACCTGCAGCTGACAGGCCAGTTCTTGTTTCTGCAGCAAAATGGACTTTTAAACACCTTTGTCAGTGCATGGACCCCTTAAATTGCAGCTAGTTATTAATGAAGTTGGCTTGACAAAAATCAACTTACTGTTCTTAGTTTTATTATTGTACCGTTTTGACGGGTAGCAGTTTACAAGCTAGAAGCATGAAACTTTGCAGGATCACATAGTGTGCTTGTGTTTTTGGACCGGGATAACATAGCAACGACCTAGCAACACATTAGCAACCACCTAGGATTCCATAGCATTGGCCTAATGTCCTAGCAACCATCTGGTATAACATAGTGATGGCCTGGGAACACTTTAGCAACCTCCTGAGATAATATAGCAGCAGCCTAACAACCTTAGCAGTCACCTGGGATTTCAAAGCAATGGCCTAACAACATCTTAGCAACACCTGGTATCACACAGCAACACTTTAGCAACACCTGGGATCCCATGGCAATGGCCTAGCAACACCTTAGCAACCACCTGAGATTTCATCCCAACTGCTTTGTCAAGGCAAGTTAAACTTGGTCCATGAACTTTTCCCTTCCAGTCTTAACATGCATAATCACATTATTACACAATGTTGTACTTTTACTATGTTAAATATTGTAATACACCGATAAAAAGAACATTGGCATATTAACATAAGGCGCAATTTCAGGCACTAAAATGCAAAATTGAGACACCACCGTCTAATTTCGTGAATCTTTAGTCCCAGTCCCATACTGTTCAAATGCAATTACCTGATTGCATATTTAGTTACATAATGTTATGCAATTAATTACATTTACATTCGTTCATTTTTTTTTCTTTCAGTGTCAAAAAAAAAGAAAAGTTGGGCTCAAACAGCTCGACTTGATGTGCTTTAAAAAATACATACCAAAATAGAAAAAGATGTGACTCTTGCTCTTTATAAGCTCTGTAGGAACAACAATGACTAAAAGTGTTCATTTGTGGTATAGAAAGTCTACAGTTCATACAAAATTTCTCCATTTGTTTCAATGAAGTACGAGAAATAATTAAAATTAAAATACAGCATGCTTTTGTTTTTGTCAGAGAGAACTACAGCTTCTTTGGGTTAAGGGGTTAAAATGCATGTTTGTCAATCTCTCTGTTAGTAGAGACTGCACTGGGCTGACCATGGACCAGTTCCTAATTATTGATTTAAAAGCTGTGAACATTTAGATTGATCTAAAGTCAAGAACTTAACACATTATTGGTAACAAAAAACTACCCAGTGATTACATATGCCATTCCAAACAAGCCTACATCAATCTTCCAACTCACCAAGTTTCCCGATGTGGGCTGAGGGTGGCAGTTCTGCACGTTGTGTGTGGTAGTCTTTGCTAGATGTAAAGTATATTCAATCTGGAGTGTATTAAATATGTATAATGTACTGTAGCTAATCAAAAGGGCAGAGCCTCATTGCCAAATGGCGCGGCGCGGAGCCTGAGGTCCGATAAAAAGAAGGGAGCATTAATTAGGATGAACAGCACTGCTTTCTGCCTCCCCTTATTAAATTACTGTTTGGATTAAGATCAAAAATTCATTACTGCGAGTCAGTCAGTGCCAGGCCAGCGATAGCAGAGGGGGAGGAAAAAGAGAGTAGGGAAGAAAAAGGAGAGAGAGAAAGAGAGAGAGAGGAAGACGATGGTGTGGGTTGGCTGCCAAAGTGGTCTGTCACAAAAAGGCCGCAAGCGGAAGAAATGTTTCCTCTATTGAAAAGTAGCTGTGGGCGAGAGGACTATCAACGCTGTCTCCAGGTATTTCGTACAAGTCAGACCTTGTGCAGTGTAGACTGATACTTAGTTTGTCACTTGATTCATTTTGGATTACTAAACTTGTGGGTTACTTTTAAAGTCAAGCCCTAAATTGGTGCTGGGTGATATATTGTTTATACTGATATACTTATATTGTTGTCAAACAGTGATAAAGATTTTTAATTTTAAAAGTGTTGATGAATATCAAAAACTCATTCTGTCTTTATTTGGCAGTGGCTTCAGATTGTTTCGAAGAACAGCAAGTTGTTTTTTGTTTTTTTTGTTTTTTTCCTCCAGTAAATCTGTTTTTTGTCTGGCTAAAATTTACAATACTGTGTAAGGTTTCCTTTGAAGAAGACAACAGAACAAAACATTACAATCACAACAAGCTGTGTCCTTCTGTGACCTTCTTTTAGCAAAGAGTGCCAGTATTCAGAGACCATGGGTTTATTTATTAACACTAGGAATGTTCATTTCCACTAATTTTAATATTCAAGTATCAGTAAGCATTACCGAACAGATAATTAATTAGCTACAGGGAGGAAAAAACAAGGGGGAAAAACAAGGGGCTATAAGCTTACCTGTTTAGGTGACAGCACTGGTGTTGCCAAAAAAGTGAGGACAACATTTGAAAACGTAATGTTATTCAAAAACAGCTGAGAGAAGTCAGTAGGTTTACAATGTTGGATGAGTAAGGGTGGCCGTTTTCTCAGATGAGCTGATTAGTTGACAACGCTAACTGGTGCAACACTGGATGCTGATGAGGACTCCTCATGTTAGTTTGCCAGAGAATATTTTAGTGTTTCTGGGCTTAGCTAACATCAGCTAGAGTTAGCAGAGTGAACCGTGGTTTCTGTCACTACCGTTGTAAAGAAATCCAAGTCAGCAATTTTCTCTACAATGCACCATTCCACGTCAAACCACTCTGACTTGGTTTTAGTCTCAACAGTTTAACCATGTAGGGATTTTTTTTTAAAAATCAGTAGAATACCTCTTTTACGAGGAGCATGTAAAACAGGGGTGTACAGTCTTCTAGTGATCTACCACCCTGTAGAGTTTAGCTCCAACCCTAATCTAACACACCTGATACAGGTAATGAAGGCCTTCAGGGGCATCTGAATATTAGAGCCAGGTGTGTTGGATCTGAACGCTCCAGGGTGGTAGATATCAGGAACAGGGTAGGGCACCCCTGCTGTAAAAAATGATGTAAAAACCTCCACAGGAGAGGCTGTACATTCCGACCTAAATGTTTAAACTGCCTGTTGTAGTGAAACAGTTGATGAGTAGATGACTAGTGTTAACCCCTTAACTGGTGGCCTGTTTAATGTGAAGACTAAAGACTAGGCTAACTACTGTAAATTACTCTGTAACTACTTTGAAACTAAAATCACTTTTTGTCATAATTTTATTTCAGTCAAACTTTGTTCAGAGTAATTTGAGAATATTAACTCCCATATGAAGCCCGTATATAGAAACACATAGAATTATGGGCTGAATGTACTGTCTCAGCTCCAATTCAGTGCCATCATGACACTGAAGAACTGAAGCAGGGCCCAGTTTAAATTCAGGGGCTAAATGAGCTTCTAAGAAAATACATAAATATAGCACAACAATGATGATTTACTTAAGATTCTTATCACAGTCATGTAAGTATGTGCATGTATGTGACAGATTGACTTTGGCTGGTTCCGATTTTTTTTTTTTGCTCAGATCTGATCTTTCTGTCTTGATTTACATTTGAGTGGGTAAATGACTCCAATCTGTCACCAGTGGGAACAAACTGATGTCCTGAAATGTCCCGCATGCGCACATCCTAATCAATCATGTAAATGGGTCACAAGAAGGAAGCAAGTGCGTCATAAACAACAAACAAACTAACCAGCAGAACGAGGCTTTGTCATGAAGATAACTGAGCTATCAGCTGTTCATTATTAGAGCAAGACAAAGACGAAAAAGGGTCAGTTGTGTTGCTTTTGCAGTGTTTACTGGTACTAACCTCAGGCTAGGTGCTGCTGCCACGTTAACAAAAAAAACAAACAAAACAAACAAACAAACAAAAAAAACGTGAATACCATTCTTATTAAGGTCACATGGCCACAAATGGGATATGTATCCGACGTAGGACCGCATATGAGAGTGACTCAGATCTGATTTGAAAAGATCAGTTTTGCGTGTCCACACAGCTCTGAAAACATCAGATCTGTGTCACATTAAGGCAAAAATCGGGTATGTGCCACTTCAGCCTGGTAATGTGAACGCAGCCTTTGAGATGCTATCACAGGTGTTGTTTTTGCATATTGTGCATGACTGTGTTTTAGCGTTGATTATATCTGCAAGTGTGTGCGTGCATGCAGATGATATATATATTTTTTTTTTACCAGCTCGTCAAGAGCTGGGCTTGAACTCGCTTGAATTTGAGCATTCTCCTAAAATTGCCCATAACAACCTCAGGCCCAGGCAGCAGGGTAATCAAGTGCGCCCTAATTAGGAGCCAAGGGTGGATCAGAGGATCCCTTTAGCCACCCCCCACCCACTGCCACCAATTATACTGCCACTCCACATTAGCTGATAGGCTGCAGTCAAGGACTGGAGGGCATTGGTACCCTGCCATAGAGGCCTGGAAGGCCCCTGTATTGCATCCTACTCTCAAATTACCAGCTCTGGTTTTTGCAAATTGTGGCTTCTTAGCTTCTGGTGTCTCTTCAACTGTGTACCTAGATTTCCTTTATAAACTGTAAGTTTAAAAGTTTGCATGGATATTAATAGTGAGTTGGACCCCTTGTGCTGCAGTAACAGCCTTTACTCTTCTGCGAATAATTTACACTAGATGTTGGAACATTGCTTTGCTGATTTGATTGCATTCAGCCATAAGAGCATTCAGGTGCTGATGTTGTATGATTAGTTCTGGATCTCAAACACCACCTCCAACTCATCCCAAAAGTGTTTGATGGTACTCCAGATAATGCAGTTCCACTGCTTCATGACCCATTATTGGGGGGCTTTACACCCCTGAAGTTGAAGCTTGGCACTGGCCATGGTAGACCTTAGGCTCATGTGCAGCTGCTCCCGTTCTGTTGGCACTGCTTTTCTATATAGACTACAAAAGCTTTGTCTATACCATTTAATGCCTGCGTCAGTAATGGGTGTAACTTAAAGTAGCTGAATTTACAAAAATTAGAAGGCATGTCTGGATATTTTTGGACATATAGTATATGTATAAAATAGGGCTGCACAGTCTGTTCGAAATGTACAATCTGATTAATTTTGATATTCGGGTATCCGAGTATGTGATAACAGTTAGTAAACCAATATTCTGTTAACCACAGGAAAGGAAAAAGCAAGGACTTTGACTGAAATTAGCATAGCAGTGTAGGCTTACTTTATTATTCAAAAATAGCCATGGGACGATTGATCAGTTTTCATGTCAGATGGGCAATGGAGGCTGCTTCTTCAGATGAGCTAATGAGCTAACCACCACAATACTTGATGCTGATGATACTTGCCATCTTGTACACAAGGTTTTTACTCCTCAGTGGGCAATGTGCTAACATGTTAGCTTGTCAGAGAAATATCTTTTCATTGTTTCTAAACCTAGCTACCGTCAGCTAGAATAGCCTAGTTAACGCAAAAGCCTTGTCAGATCCAGCTGTTCTATTTCTGTATTCTCAGTCACATCCTTAACAGTGTGTCCTTGCCAATGCACTTTTGTTTCTTAGTAGTAAAGTATAATATATTTATACGCAAATACAGTCAAAACTGTCGCATTCTGCAGTCCTTTTGAAACATAAAATCTGTGTTTTCACTGAACTGCATATTTTTTTGTCTTCCTGTGATGGAATGTAATGAATACCTGGCATCTTAAACAGTTAAAGGACAAGTTGAGTGACTGTATTTCACTACAGAATATTGTTTGTTAATTGCTATTGTAATGTCGCTACTGTCGGAAGAAAACCTCGTATCTCCATTTTTGTCATTTTTTAGTTTTTGACATAATTTGAAATTACCTGTTGCCCTTTACATTGTTTGTAAATTTCATGATGAATGGACCAAAAGAAACAGCCCAAAATGACTTGGAAAATAGTCTTTTTCCATTGACTTACATTAAAAGTAGGTTTTTTCCTTCTCCTGTAAAGATATCATTTTGAAGGTTTTCTCCTGACAACAGCGATATGTATCATTGCTATACTCATCACACAGAAGCCTGAAATATGTGAATGAGCCCTCAAAATGTTACTTGTATTTTTTTATATAGTGATAATGTTTGGTCAACATGCTCACATCAACCTTAGATGCTCCAGAGGAGCATCCTACGAGTGTTTTGAATTGATGAATCAAGGCAAGGCATTCATGCGGTTCAACAAACGTAAATGTGTATCATGTTTGCTTCTTGAAATGATATAATTATAATTACAATGTGGTATTCAGTCAATATTGAGATCGTGAAATTGTGCTTCTACCCACATTTGTTTTTAATATAGCAGCAAACATCAGGCACAGTATAATTTAAGATAATAAAGGAAGAAGTGTGGACAGTTCATCTCAACTATCCCTAACAATTCACCAGCGAGTTGTATTCAGTCTGCGCAGTTGTATATCCTTCAAATTAGAGTGGATTGCAGGTGCCTTAGCCATGACCTCATTGGCTTATTATGAAGTTTCAGACTGGTTGTTCTGTGTAAGAACATATTATGACCGTTATGTTTATTGTTGCAGGCTGTTTGGTCACAGTGGGGCTTGCAGTGCATGTGGACAGTCGATTCCAGCCAGCGAGATGGTGATGAGGGCGCAGGGCAATGTCTACCACCTTAAGGTGAGTTACTCACTCATTCTGGCACTGAATGTCCTTAACTGTCAGTATTTCAGAAAGCAGGGATTATTCCACACCAGTTAAGAACCATCTTACATCCCCTAACTTGTATACACCTTGAAATATGTATTTCTGTTGTCTTTAATTATTTTTCACTTGAAACGTTTGCAGAGAAAATCTGTTATAAGTGCTGATTCTATGCTTTCAATACCACATTTGTGTTTGTAAATATAAGAAGAGATATTAAGATGATTAAAAATGTTGGTTAAACTCCACTACTCTGACTTTCTCTTTACTTACTTGCTGCAGTGTTTCACATGTGCCACATGTCGGAACCGTCTGATGCCTGGGGACAGATTCCACTATGTCAATGGCACCATCTTTTGTGAGCATGACCGGCCTGGTGGAGCCCTGCTCAGCAGTCACCTGACCCCCTTGCAGAACAGCACCCTCCTGCCTGACCAGAAGGTGAGACTAGCTTTACATCAACATCTTCTTTCAAACCACTACACACTTCTTTAATTCTTTAGTTTTTCAAAGGAGTTACAAGGCTAATGTAGCTAACAAGTAATAAAAACTTGTATATAACAAGTAGCATTGTGCAAACTGCACGCTTAAATCATTAAGTAATGTCAAATAGCCTTACTGTATCTGTAAAATTAACAAAAGTATGTCTCATAGCTACCCAGTAGCTACCTTAAAGGAAATTATTTTAAACATTTGTCATGATGATTGCTCTCATCCTGTCGCTTAAGAATGAGAAAAGTAATTTGATGAAAAACAGGTAAAAAAAAAAAAAACAAAAACAAATTCACTCATTTCCCCACTAGTGAAGGTTAACTGGCAGGTTGTTTTTTGCATCTTGCCATGGAGTTAAAGATAATTGACAGTGACAGGACCTTGCTGTGAAGTTAAAATGACCCTGAAAAAGTTTGCTTTTGTGTGGGCATTGACAGGAAACTGCAGGGACAGCGTCAGTGCAGATGAGTTATCCAACTGCGTTTGATAACTTTCCAGTTTGATATCTACTAGACTATGAAATAAAAACACTTGTACACTTGCAGGATCATTTGATCCTTCAATTTAAATTACAGTGTTTTAAAAAATATATCTTGCATTATGAAGAACAACAGACTTCTTTCCTTTTTTCATTCCGAAGGACACAGGGATGTCTTAATGCAGTATATGTATGTAAGAGACTGCTTAGTCTCCAGTACTGAAGTAAAGTTAACAGTAGTACCTAGCTGCTATACTGCTATTTCCTATGAAGATGGAATATATTACACAATATAATATATTAATTCCAAAACTTGTATAGGAAATACACCCTAAGTGAAGAGTTGCGTGCTGCAGTTGTGATACTTAGGGCTTAAGAGGTCCATATCTTACATGTTTCTTGTATTGTATTTCTTTCCTTGAGGTGCCTTATAATATTTATATGGCTTAATGTAACATAACGTCATAATTCATTTTTAAGTGACCATTTTCCAACCTTGCTTTATCCTTTTTAACTGGCTGTTGTTGTTACTGTGCTTTTACGACTGATGTTTGTAAATGTCCTCTTCTAATTGGCTGCTCTGTTTTTACCCAATTTGAAAAACAGTTCAGGCTGAAACACACTTTCTATATTTATCAATCGATCAGTCTTTAATTAAACTTGGAATACATTGAGGGTGACTGTCATTAACAGTGTAGTCGAGCATCATACAAAAAAAACAAGGGATCTAAAGAGTAATTGTAAATTTATGATAGTAAAAGTATAGCAAAGAAAATAAATAAGACCAAAAATTACTATTCAAACAATACATAAAGCAAATAAAAACGAGGAAACTTTGACATAACAAATCAAAACAATCAAATGAAACTATTATATCAGTTTTATAACTTCAGTGTCTTAGGTGGAGCACCACTGTTGTAGGCTGAATAGATTAATATGTATAAATGCACAAAAACAATAAATTCAAAGCCAAAAAATATGGAGCATATGAAATGAGGATGTAATGGAATGCAACATACAACACCAAACTATTATATTTCAAAGTCAAGGAAAATTTAGTTTTCCATGATAGGAGTCCTTTAAAACACATTTAAATATGCAAAAGTGAGCAACTTTAGTTTAGAAGTGCAAAGGCTGTTGTGAAACATGTCACTCATAAATATTGTTGACATTTTCTCCAATGCCAATAAATACCCATACATTACTATTGGCTTATTTTTACTGGCCAACCAATATGTTGGCTGTGCCCTACCTAATACTTTATTAAGAGGATAAACGTCTGTGGCCTATTGACCATCAAACTGCTTTTTCTGTCTGTGTAGGTGTGCTGAGGGGACAAGGACTTCACACTGCACGGCGTGCCTTCTCCTTGTCCTTCTTTTTCTCTGCTTCTTCTTCTCAGTCTCTCTTCTCCTTCTTCTTCACATCGTGAAAAGTCCACTCATATACAAGACACTGGTGTCCCTCCATTCTGTGCATCAACCCACCTTAAAGGAACTCTTGAGGCTGGATTTCTGAACGCCTCTCAAATCTGCAGGGTAAGCTGAGCAAGCATAAAAGGAAGATGGAGAGAACTGAACTTACTGTTAATGACAGCTGAGGGTTGCTTTTGGTGGTCCCGAGTGGGACTGTATGAACTGTAAACTGTGACTGCTGAGAAGCCCTAACCACAGGATATGAGGATGACCCACACTTGCAATGCTGTTTTTATGATTTGATATTAAGACATTTTTTGAGGGCATTGTGGATGTTCAGCACTCTGGACGGTGAGGCGCTGTGGACGTTGCTGTACTTGCTTTTTCCATTATGGATGATTCAGATCGTTGCCTCTTCCTTTTTGCTTCTCTGCTCGTTCCTTAGAGAAAGACTTCATATTTTGTGGTTTGTACTCTGTTACGACACTATTTGCGTAACTTATGATTGTTTTGTACCGCTGGTGGTTGCCTGTTTCACATCATTGACTGGAATTCACATTGTCAATGGTGGGTCGGATGTACATGTCCTGCTTTTGGGCAACTTGAGAAGCAAGAGAGAGGAGAACCCAAATGTGTATATTCCCTTTCTTGTGCTGTCATCTCGTGTGCTTCAATGGCTGAATTTTGTGTTTGTGTCCTCTGTTGTTAAAGCAGAGGTGCATTTAAAGTGATATAAAATATCTGTATAGTAAAAAAAAGTACTTATTAAATACCTATAACCAATATATAGGGTCTTGTGGTATCTGTAATGCAATGCGTGCTTGGTCACTTAGGAGTGAGAAATAATATGACAATAATATTTATTGTTATTGTGATAAATTATGTAACATTGTCACAATATTCTTCTCTAAATATATCATGGATATTGGCAATACTTAATGAAAACTGACCAACTGCTTATTTCATTACAAAGAGAGCACCATTAGCCTCATTCAATTGGATTTAGTTTAAATACTAAGTACATTTTTTTTGTATTTTGTGTTGAATAAAAATCATTGTATTCATAGTTTTTGATTGTATTTTTAAAAATGTGGCACCTCTGGCTATTTTATCTATTCCAACTTAACAAACCTAAAAAAACTAAATATCGTGACATACATGTCTTGTGAACTATTGCCCATGGTACTATACCTATAAATTATGAGTTCTTCGAAAAAAGGCCAGACAGTAAAAATAGACTTAAAGGGGATTTCCACCCAGTTTTCTAAATTTAAGCATGGATTAATGGTTGAGATGTAAACAAAGTTATTCGGAGTGATTTTAAGTGAAAAGGTGTATTGCAGAGAAATTTAGCGACTCGAATTTGTTCACAGTGGTGACGATAGGAACCAGGGGCTGTGACATCTACAATGCAAATATAGCCATTTTATTTACTATCCAAATAGTCCAGTGAGCCTACACTTTTCTGTTTTTATATGTAATGATGAAAGTAAAATAGTGGTAAATCTGAGGGGGGAAAAAAATTCTTTGAGAGTTGTTTTGCCATACAATGCCCCTCATCTATCTCTCTTCCATGAATGGGTTTAAACCAATATGTTTAAGGCTACCTTATAGAAAAAACTTTTGTAAAGCATTGTCTCAGGTAAACCTGTTCATGTAACATTCTGTGATGTAACTTTTAGAGACTAACTGTAACTTTCTGGTTCCAAACATCACCACTGTTGTGAACTATTTTGGCTTGGCAAGTTTCTCCAGAATGGAGCATTTCACATCGAACCACTCTAAATTACTTTGTTTAAGTTAATATTAATATGTAATTTGTAAGTTAACAGTAAACCACATGACTTTGTTTATATAGGTTAATAGTAAATATATGTATGAAATATAATAGAATCACTGTGTGATTAAAGAATGCTTATTAATAGATAAATAGACCAGTAGGAGAATTAAAAATATGCATTATCATCATGCAAATTGCCACCTAATCACTGCCAATTTATCAAGCCAATAATTAAAGAAAAGAAAAATCAATCACTTTAATCAAGTTGTGACAACCCTTCTTGATTTAGGTGATGTGTTTTTTCCTGCTTTGAGGAGACAGACCTATTTGTGTATGTGGGAGTAAGAGCCACTGAAAGGTAAGGGCAACTCTCAGGTTTGAAAAGCATGGTCGATTACCCTCAGGAATGGAATTCAAACACTTGAGCCTCAGTCATTACAGAAAGCAATTAAGAGTGTGATGTGCTCCAGGCTTGGATTTTTTTTCCTCATTTTTTTCTTCCCACCCTCTTCCAACTAATTTGACTTTAATCTGATGCTTGCAAAAGAGAGCTCTCCTGCATCATTGTTAACCGTGCTCCAATAGCTAACGACGTAATCCTGCCATTTTCTTTCATCTCAACCTTCCCTACCACCCCCCCATTAACTTTCTCTCCATCCACCCTTTATTTCTGCTCATTCATTATAGTTAAGTTTGCTGAGGTTTGAGAAGTTTGCTCGCTGTGGCATTTTATCTAATTGCTTTTTGGCATTAACCTTCCAGCCTATATCTTGTTTATTTAATTAGCTAATTAAAGCCCCCTTTCTTTTTTTACTGCTACCTTTTGGCCTGCAATCACAAGGTGTTCGTTTCCAATTTAATTTTATGATTAGAAGAAAAAAAAATGTTCTCCCTTGCGTTTCTTCAGAGCAAAAATGGGTTCCAAGTGTACCTCATTATGTCTGGGCAAGGGTGTAAAAGCCAGCTGCGACTTCTTAAATTAATAAAGTTCTGTTTTGAGTGGTGCTCTCGAAAGTGCAAAAATAGCACTGAACATTTCCTTAACACGTAACATTAGGCACTTAGAAAAAGTCCAACCAATTGCCTTATTTCACCTTTGCCATCATTGTGTGCAATGCTTACACATACATTCACAAAGGAAGAGTAGGTTAAATGTCATATGCCAATTTCTCTGTTTCTGTGTGCATTCTAGGAACTGAAGCAATCACTGGATCACAGAAAGTGCCAGCACACTGGAAAAGATGAATCGTCTTTGTTCGTTGCTTTTAGAATGGCGAATACTGCAAATATTTTATTTTTAACTCTGATCGTCACACCCAGCTTGGCAGCTTAACATCCTCCACACATGTGCCTGTGTGCTGATACGCTATCAATGATTTATTTCACGGCCTGGGATCACAGGGAAAAAAAGCAGCAGACAAATTCATTTACGTATGCAAATGATCCTAATTGCAATTATCTCCATATCTTGATAAGGGAAGGGTGGTGGTAGAGGGGTCTCAAAAAAAAGAAAATCCCCTGGCAATGCAAGTTACACTTCGCATTCAAACTAATCAAGCCTCAACTGTGCATTACTAATTAGCCTGACATATTCAAAAGCCAATTAACGATCTTAGGAATCAGGTCTACGTGGCAAGGCTTTGCCAGTGAGCAGAGCAAAGAAAAACTTTCTGTCAGGTGTGCTGTCTACAAAAAAGCCCACATCTTTGCAGAGGCGTGTGTAGTTTTTTTTTCTCCTTCCCTTTTTTCAATTCACTAATTAAACAAATTAACACATGCAAATTGGTGTAATTGCATTGTTTCCTCACCTTTTGGTGTGTGAAGAAAGGAAAAAAGATAGAGTTTTTTTTTTTCCTTATAAGATGATGGCTTTGGCCTCAGACCTAGGCTTTACAATCGAGGCCTAACGTGCTACTGTGCACCCATACGTACCTCAAATATGGCCTTGAGGTTACAAGTGCAGTCATAGAAAATGAGTGTCAATTGTTTTTATTACATATACTTCTAGTGAAAACATACAGTGGGGTCCAAAGTTAAGTTAAAAAAACTTATAAACAACAAAAAGCTAAAATAAAGTTGTGACATGCAACAGGAAGAATGTGTACGATTTGCGGGTCACTATTCAAATTTAAGACCTTTGTACGAAAAAAGGTTGTATCCTAGTTATTTTTTTGAAACCACTGTATCACAAAACTAACATACTCAAAAATAACATATTCAAGTTTCTTCAGTAAACTTTTAAAACTATGGCTGAAAGAACTGATTTTAAGTTAATTTGTAGGTAAATCTCTTTTTAGCTTAAACACTTTAACCAGTCACTTATTTTCAGTTAACAGCTAATTTGACTTTTCTAGAAAATAGTTATCAATAATAATTTGCCAGTCAGACTAAATAAGTCTAGCGTTAGCTACTGAATGTCTTAATTTTTCATTCCATCATCTCATGTTATTTGGCCTGTTGCAAAACATTCAACCAAAAGAGACTGAACCCTCAAGGCTAAGTGTGCACTTAAACCCTTTGTTGCTAAGGAATTGTTCAGTCAGTGAAAGTTACTTCTAATCTGATTGCATTTTTAAGTCTACCTGAAATGAAAAAAACATTTTTCTTCCATACCATGAAATATTTCCAAGTGAAAACATGGTATTATGAAGGGTCTGTGAGCTAGCTCGTCATTTTTGCTCAAAGGAATGAGGTGGTGTGGGGATTGAGATGTGACATTTTAATATAGATATTATTGGTTGGTATTGTTTTTCCTCACCCACAACCAGGAATTTAGCCTTTTAGATTCATTTTAAGTAATATGCAGCGCAAAGGCCTCCACAGGGCAAAATAATTAATCTGATTTTTAGGATTTAAGATGGTCTTGTATGATCAAAAGCATAAAAACCCTCAGGTTGCTATATATGACATTTGATATATATATATATATATATATATATATATATATATATATATATATATATATATATATTTATATATATATTTATATATATATATATTAAGGGGGACAGATAGTTAGTATATATAATATATATATTTATATATATTACAGGTGGGAATCTCTAGGCACCTCACGATTCGATTCAGTTACGATTCAGAGGGCTGCGATGCGATTATAAAACGATTATCGATGCATCTCGATGCATCTTTTTTTCTATACATGATTTCTATTTTATTACTGTGTGAGGACTTGGTACTTTTAAAGCTAAGTATCGTAATGATCCATAATGCATTTATGTCCAATATCTTTTATTAATAAAACAAATGGAAGTGATGTGGCAAGAGAACTGGAAGGCTCCCATTCACTGCTCTTGTTTGGAGACGCTGCTGGCACTCATCAGTGATAAAATGCCCTGTTACGGTGAAATAAGATCCAGTGGTAATGGACGACCACGCAGCACATTATAGCCGTCCTGCCCGTTTTCTTCACCTAGCAACGAGGTTTCGCCTGGCTAGTAGCAAACGAAAAAGGAAAAGAGAAAGACAGAAGAACATTTGGAGACGAACGGACTTATTCGCATTCATAAGCAACGTAGTTGGTTTCCTGATACGTTAAATCTGCAACGAGAGACTGTCAAACACTAAAAAGTTGCGAAAATGAAGTCGCTTCTCTTTCTAATTTTCCCGTTCCACCGTACATGGTGCCGCATTTACCTTCGGCGCCTCAGTCAGAATTTAAGGTGGAACGGGAAAGTTCAGCAAGAAACTGGCGAATGAGAATCGACTTCAGCCTCGTAAAACAGCCGAAAGCTGAAAGACATTTTACAAGAAACTATTCAACTTTTGAGAAAAAGTTTTCTGGCGGAGATGGAAGAAAAGCGGCTATAGCTAAAGCTTAAAGCAGAGTAGAGTAACGTTAAGTCCGCGTTTTCGTTGATATTGTTTCGTCTATACTAGGACATTAGCACATACTGGACATTAAATGTTGTGGCTCCCAAGGTGGTTTGATTTTTGTTGAAAGGACAAAATGGCTCGTCTTAACATTTGTGTTGTGACTCCTGAT